ACGATATAAAACGCAATAAGTTCGTTCTAAAAGGCCAGATTCCAAGGACAATGCTATTTCATAATACCTATTTACTAACTTCCCTTCACATTTTTAGATTCTGAGCGGAGCGATGAATATGTTTTTTTTTTACTATAGAAGAAGCCTCGATGGCGTGACCATTGGCTTGTTTTACATGATATGTACCTACTAAACTTAGTCAGATTAAATCATTTAAATGATTTTTTTGATGATTGTGGAAAACATCAAAAACTGAAGTACGCACTGTTGCAGTATAAGCGACGATATGGCCTTAAATAATTTAAATAAAATTGCACAGTTCAATGTTTTTCATAAGTATAATTATATTTTTGATGGATTCTCATCGAGGCCCCGTGAGCCCTGAAGGTATATTTTCAGGTATATTTTATTTTTGTCGAGCCTCTTTTGTGTTTGCACATTCGGTAATGATATGTTTGATTGAAGTTGGATACCCGCATGTATAAGACATGTTTTTTATGCATATATTTTTCTTTTTGACTGTCATCACGGTTAAGGGCGGTAAAACTGTTTTAAAATTTTTTTTCAACAACAATTTTTCTGGTGGGAAAGTGAATCTATTTTTTGCATTCGGGAGGTCAAAATTTAAAATTCCCAATAGTTTTCAAAAGTAACGGAAAAAACAAACAAAAAATTAAGGAAAATGGGAATTTTTATGCAAAACCAGTTTTCAAAAAAATATTTTAATAATTAATAATTAACTACGTATTTGTAAGATTATTTTGGTGAAGGAAATTTTATAAGGCTATAACAAAAGACAAAATATAAATTGTTCCCTTAGCTAATGAAAAAAATAAATAAAAATGTACAGTAGAAAGTAATGAGCAATGACATTATGAAAAGTAAGAAAAATTTAATAATACTTACCCAAACAAATTTGTTGATCTAGATCCAAAATAATTAACGGTTAGTAAAAAAACATGAATATTTCAATATGATAATAAGGCGTTATAAATTTCTCCCAAAAATTAAAATGTATTGGTACTCACTTTCTCCAGCGTATATATAACCAATATAAATTGTCATAAAAAATATAGCTAACATATTAATATTTTTCACCATGTTTTTATGGACAATAAATTAATACTTTTTACAGCCAATACAAATAATGTAAGAATAGTATAAAATGTTTTCGAATTTTGATATTTATAGTGTTATGCAAAGCAAAACATATGTCCATAAACAACTGAGTAGGTTAGGTTAAACCTACCCTAGAAAATAGTAGGCGTGGTAATAAATATTTTTCGCATAGTTATAAATGTACGTACAATGTAGCTGTAAATTATGACGTTTTTGAAATTATTTATTTTTTTAAACTTTAAACTACCACGGTTTTTTTCTAAAATATATTGTATTTCATGTTTAGGTTCTTATAAAATGGTGGATTATGTTTTTGGTAACTGATATGGGATAATGCACCGTATAGTAGATTATCTAAGATGTTTGATCAATTTAATTAATTTCAGAGGACGATTGAAGTGTTAGTTTGAGATGATTGTATTTCAAGTTGAGCATAAGAGCAAATTCGCTTTTTTTTTAGCTGTCCATGAGCACAAGGCTTCAGTTGGACCAATTCATAAACCAACCCACCGTAAGACCATTCGTTTATTTTAGTCTTCCCATCTTTAACAGCTAATTGCAGGGTTCCTTGAACAAGTGCTACTCGTGCTAGGTGTTTTGGAAGTCATTTTTGTTGATACAATACACCATTACGTCATTACAGTGAACTAGATGACATATACCGAAAATCAGAGTGCCAGGAGCACAGAGTGGTTCCCATCTCGATTGCCCATCATTTTTTTTTAATATTGCTTATTTTTGTCTTACGACACAACGAACCAATTTTAAAGTTGGTGTGAGGATTTTTGACTAATTGAATATTGGTAGCTTACAGAATAACGATTTTAGTAATTTTTTGTGATTTTTTTTAGTAGAAATAAAGAATCTATACAAATTATGTACAATAAGCTTATGTGTTAAGATAATACAGGACTTGAGAAATTGAATAAGAAGCCACCCACTGGCAACACTTAGCATGAGTTATTTATACGTATATATAATATTATTAATATTTTATTTTTTTTTTTTAATTGTTGATGGTTGAAATTGTATATATTATTCATGACTTCATGTAATATGTATACATATTATATTTTAAATTGGTAATTGTAGGAGGTCACGACACCATTTCCTTTTTAACCTGCGCCTTGAATTTCCCGGGAGAGTTAGAGAGGAGAGGTTTTTAATTTAGAGGATTTTGGTGGGATAGGAGTCGAATGCGGAAGCGTGAGTAAAAAGCTTCTTCGTTGATGGTTTTCATGTGAAAATCATTATGTAATGTTAGGTTTGAGACGTACGGTGGTGCATTGGAGAGTCGACGGAGAGCTAGGTTTTGGAATACTTGGATTTTATTGGTATTAGATTTTTTTGCTGAGCCCCAGAGCTGTATGCCAGAAGTCCAAATAGATCCCTGGAGGATTTTGTAGATTAGAAGTTTTACTTTTAGATTGGTATTATTATTTCTCGATATAAGCGGACTAAGGATGCGCATACGGACGTTGGAGAGTCAGTCTTTTGGTTCATAAGTATATGATTTTTCCATGTCAGTCGTTTGTCAAGACTGAGTCCCAGGTATTTTATTGTGTCCGATGTGGGAATTGGGATGTTGTTTAATGTAACAGTTGGACATTCACCCTTCTTGAGAGTAAATGTAGTGTGATTTGATTTGTTTTGGTTTATTTAGATACGCCATTTGTTGTACCAGTTAGTCATTAGGTCGAGGCGAAGTTGTAGGTTTGACGAGGCGGTTACCGGATTTTCACTAATTGACAAAATGACTTTATCATCAGCATAATCAGCCACCATGGTTTGAGGCGTGGTGGGCTGATCGGCGACGTAGATGTTGAATAGAGTTGGAGATAGGATGCTCCCTTGTGGGACGCCAACATTGATTTTGGTTATTTCTGAGTATGCAGAGCGATAATGTACTCGAAAGTATCGATCGGTTAAGTAAGATTTAATTAAGAGAAAGAACGGGTGGGGAAGAAAACTTTTGAGCTTGAATAATAACCCGTCATGCCAAACTCTGTCGAACGCTTGGGATACATCAAGGAAGATACAGGTACAGTAAAGTTTTTTTCCGACGAGAGCGATATTGCATCGACAATCCTTGTTGTAATTTAAAAATATTATTCGTGGGTACTTGCAACGTTTTACTTAGAGTATTATTCTATTTTAATGTTTTGCAAGCACAACGAAATTTTCGAATTCATTTTTTCTACAAAAATGGCTAAAATTACACGTTGTAATAATACTTAAGTTACACATAAGGAAGTTTGATTGTGCATCACATTTTATTTTTCCTATTACCTAATTATACGTACCGGACTTTTTATACCTCGGACTTTTTCTTAGTAAACAACATTATAAATCTATAATACTCGCGACGCGTCTTATTGTTTGGTTTAAATAACAATAAATAATGCAACAGACACTTGCAATAGTTGTTAGGTACTATTAATAGTCGCCATGAAAAATGTGTTAAACGTGCATCACCCACAGATATATATTTAGAATACATGTTTATTCTATATATCTGTGCCATCACTTGAGTAAATCATCATCATGTGGGGCCCCAATAAGGTTCAATTAAGCATTAAACTAAAATATTTAAAATATCATCCAAAAAATTACATTTGAAAATGTAATTGTGTAGGTATTTGTGCGTAAAAAATATATTACTGTGCTTTAAAAGTCTCAAGTACCCACAAATATTGTATTACCCCAAAGTTTTCCTACATTTATCATAAAAAAAAAAGTCAACCGAAAAGTTAATTACAATTTTTTCGATTGTTTGAAGTTAGACATACTGAATATATTCGTCAGTTAATTAACAAATTCTCATACAACGATTTTCTTGAGACTTTCACGGTACGTCGGTACATTATTATATTTTATACACACAACGACATTTTCAAATGTAATTTCTTGGAAAAAATAAATGCCTTTACGATTATTTACATTTAATTCGATAAGGGTAGTCACATCTAATGTCGCAAGATTATTTTTAACTTTATTTTTAACGCGTGAGTGAATAACACTGGCCCTCAAAGCTGCTCGATTTTCTAGTCAGATGGCGCTGCTACATACGATTTACAACGACGAAAGCGTGGTGGATATAAAGCTCCTTACTATTTAGTATTTAGCACGGATATAGATACTAGTAGATACTAGTATCTATATCCGTGGTATTTAGCATGATCTTTATTCGTCGTTTTTAGGAGCGTTTATTGAAGGGTTCAACCCCCACCCCCTCCTCACAAATATTTTGGGCTAAATTATGAATGGTCGGAACAACACTTTTTGAATTACTCACAATGTTTAATAAAAAAATGTGTAGGTATAAGGTATAAATATACACTAAAATTTAACAAAATATTAAACTAAAATGCTCGAATAAGAATTGATGTTTTTAATTCTCTGATGAACGAAACTGATATTGTACATGAAATGCATTGCCATATTGCATTAAAATTCAGGTACTAGTTATAAGTATTTAAAGTTTAGTTGAGCAAAGTGGGTCATGTTGGTTCTAAATAGATGTCCTAAACAAATCTTGAAAATCAATTACGATTTTATTTTTATTCTTTCCAGTCTAATAATTTAAGTCATTAAGGTGAGGTGTTTTTAAATATTTGATCAACTTTCACTTTTAAACTTTTCTGGTAGAAAGAATGCTGGAGCTGCTCTCCGAAGCACTACCATTGGATATTTAAGTGGAAATATATTGTATCATAACTTTGTAAGTATTTATAGAATAATGAAGAAATTTCCAAAACAGATCAAACAATGGACCCCTAAGGCCCTAACCCTCTACACTAATACAATAAAATATAAATTATAAAACATAAGTATGAAAACTACACCAATATAAAATATCAAATAATTAATTAATAAACAAATGTACGACCAATCACATTCTTATTGTTTCAAATTACTTTATAGAACAATATTCATAACAACTAGACAACTAAATTACATGTTCTCATTAAAAAAAAAAATATTATATTTGTACATGTTTACGTAAAATAAAAAATTAACACAAATTAGTTGATTGACTGGACTCGCATTTGTTGAGAACTCGTTGTTCCTGTAGTTGGTTCGCTCGGATCATTACCTTTCAAAATATTACCAGCTAAATCCAAAGCATACTTGTGATCGACCACATGATCTAGTGCCTTTTCTATAGCTTCATCTATGTTTTCAGCGGTTATATAGGTTTTTGATTTTTCCTAAAAGCAAAGCAAATACTTTTACAATAACAATCAACGTACAATTATTTAACTATATGCGCGTGTATACCTTTTCTAATCTGATAATTTCCTCAACTGCTGCTAGTTTTTTCTTTTTATTTTCTTCTTTTTCAATGAGTTGAGCTAAAATGTCTTCACGACGGGCCTCACGTTCATTAGCCAACCTCTGTTCCCTTTCTAAAGCCACTTCGGCATTCCAATTGTCGTTGATATCCATGCACTTAGCCCATAACACTTCTTCCTTATTGGCAATTTCTTGCAACACCTCTTGACCAGTGTACGATGTCTCCAGTTCATATTCCAGTTGTTTCCTGAAATGGACGTGTACAACAGATTAGTGAGAAAGCCGCCCCGGGTGCAAGTTGGGTACTCGAGCACATGACATTGAACACACTCACTGTATGGATTTCATGGTAGTCCTGTAGTTGGTAAAAAGCCGGAACAGTTCATTACTCTCTTCGGTGGAGATCTGTGGCCGAACGGGCACGCGAAACATTTTGGTCGGCGCTTTCGGCAACCATCTGGGTTTTCTGGTGTACCTGACCGGTTGCTGGTTTATGGCCTTAGTTTTGCCCAGCAGTTTGCCGTACAGCAATTCGACTTTGCACAAATTTTGCATGGTTGAGAGATTTTGGCATAAAAAAAATAATAAAAATTCAGTATCAGAACGATATGGCGCCGCCGGTAAAAGCCAAACACGATAGGACAAAATGTTGATAAAATATCAAAATCCAGCGCCAGCTGCAGCTTCGATGAGTATCATCGTGATTATATTATTATTATTGTTATGTCGCCGACATAGATAATAAAGATATGGATAGGACATATTGGTCTTATCNGTCGCCGACCACATGTCTGTTTGATAATAGAAATAATAGTGATAACCGATTGTGTGGATTTAAAACTTTGCGAATTTTCCCGAAATAATAAAATGTATTTCCCAATGGGTATCTATATGTACTTAAAAATATTTGTTTCACCCATCCTGTGCCAGAATCACAAAATAGATTGAGTAAAATGCTTCATTGTGCGGCTTAGCACTCCAAGTCAGAGAACACGATGTAACCACTAACCACAGAATATGTGCATTTTTCCCCCTATTTGACCTATTCTATGGTGTAACCAGTACACAAATATAATTAGTACAAGTACTACAAGTTTACTGTAACTAGATGAATTCCATCAAATTCTGAATATTCAAAATGTTCCACTCAATTTTAATTTATAGTTGTGTTAATAATTAATAATATAATAAATTATATAGCAATATATATATTTAATATTAATTTTAAAAATGTAATTAGTTCTCTTAAATAATATAAATATATTATAATATTTGATTTCTATTATTTATAGTTACCTACCTCTATTCAAAATAATGCTCAATACAATTATCTATTATTATACTAGAACAATCGATGCATATATTGACTATTTTTTAAAAATTGTCTTTTTATATATATTTTGAATGGACCATTATTTTAAATTTTTATATGGGACCATGAGAAAACAGATTTATTTTGTCATGCATAGAATTATAATATTAGTAACCCATAGGTAAGTATAAGGAATAGTCATCAAATATGATACTGTATTAATATTGTGTAAAAAAGTTACCAACTACATTTTTAAATTAATTTTTATTTTATAATACATCTATATTATAGGTACCTATGTAATACATTATACAATTATTAATGAAAATGCATTAGAATATTTCGTTTTCAGACTTATTGTCTGAATAAAAAAATGAGTACGTGCTTCTTGACCGAGATTTATTAATCTTATATTTTTAAGTGGCAAAATAGTTAAACACAGTTCAAGTGTCAAGTAGAAAGTTAAAAAACAACAATTTTTTACTTAAAAATGTTTTTCACCTGTATCTAAACTGAAACATAGTACATATAAACCTTTTTTCATCTCAAATTACTAATTTTCCAATTTTTATTTTATGTGCATAAAAATAAACTCTATGCATCGAGATTATAGGTACCAAGATAATACAATTTAAAAAAAATATCAATAATAACATTATCTTATGTTTTGGGCATTTATTATGAATTATCATTATTTACAATATAACATTAAGAAGGACCGGCCAAATCTATGACTCATCCACACAAAGTACACAAGACGTAAAATTTCAAATTATACATAATAAATTTGTATATCACAGTTTTTTTATTAATCATTTTTTAAATCTAGTCATACAAGAGCTACACTTAAAAGTTATTTAATTTATAATTTTTTTTAACATTAGGATGGTACAGGTAAAAATGAAAAATAAATATATTTACTTTCTCCTACAGTTTACATTAATATGTACAATTAATGTCTTTAACATAGTGAGTAAACCCTGTCTGAAAATAATGAAAAAACAATGTATTTCTATACATTGTAATGTATTAATAAACATCTATAAAAAATGCATGTGGTTTGAATAACAAAAACCAAGAAACGTTTTAATATTACACATTTTAATACATTGTAAAATATAAGTAGAATTGTAGTTAAGCTATTCATAGCTATAGTATTTTTTCCAATAGTTGTAACTCCTAGACTTGGATTTATAATTTTCATCGCCCCTATAATCTCTGTAATCTTTGTAGTCTCTGTAAGTAGGTACTAATCTGAAAAACAATTAAAAATCATGTTAGAAAAACAATTATTGGTTCCATAACTTCAATGAAACATTCATATTTATAAAAACACAAATATAGGTAGAATAATTAATATGAGTAACTTTTAATTTAAATTTTAAAATATTCTGTTCTTGAACTACATTATTAACAAATATTAGTCTATTATTTTTCTAATTATTGATAGATTTTACTTTTAATCCATCAAAGTAAAAACTAGGTCTAATTTGCTACCATAAACCTCCCTTGAAGACAATGATCAGAGTATTTTCCTAATAAAAAAATGTCTTCAGGTACAAAAATAAAAACCACACATCAATATAAAATCAATACATTCATCACTCTGATCAGAATCTAAAAAATTACTGACTGGGATGATCATAAGAAAACACTAAAAAAAATGTAAAAACCAGTATCAGATTAAAATGTACAAGGGAAGTCCACAACCTGAATTACCTAGTTATAAATTCTAACGTATAACTTTATGCATACTTATTAGTGGTTGACGATTTATGACGACGATATCCTGAAGAACTAGATGAACCAGAGGACGAACTTGAATATCGTTTACGGGTTTTATTTGATTTTCGGTGGTGTTTATGAGTTCTTCTATCTGATATTGATTTGGAACGAGATCGCTCATGACTAACCAATACAAAACAAAGTTATAAGATAATTTAATCATTTAAAACACTACATATTTTTAACTTAAGCACAATATTTTTCTTACTTTCTTTTTTTGGATTTCTTTAAATGTCTTGGACTTCTACTTCCAGACTTGGTTTCTGAAGGTGTTCTACTTCTACTTCTTTTTTTAATTGGTTTTCTATAAAAAAAAATTAATATAATTAACAAATATATTTCAGTGACATCTTGAAAGTACCAAAATACATACTTATTTGGGGTGGTTGAACTAATATTTTCAGTGGCAACAGCAGTTATTCCATTAGTAGGAGGAGGTGCAACAACTTCTGTTTGAACTACTGGATGCACAATAGCTGCTCTAGCTTTCTCCTTAGCATGATCATATTCTTTCTTCAACTCTTCCACTCTCCTTTCCAAGTCTTCTGTGATAACCTGAAAATAATTACAAACAAATATGGTTATACTGAACATACAAACTATAATTTTCTACTCACTTTAGGTCTCATATAAAGTTTAAGTATTTTACGACAGATGTCCTGGATGTCCATTTCATTTGAATTGAATAAAGAGTACCATGCTGGACTTTTTGGTAATGGTATTTGTAATTTCCTGGCCGACAAATAAATACAGGCACAAGCAATAGTTTCTGGATCAAACTGGACAAATACATCAGTTTGCAATGAATCATTCATGTAGTTCCAGGACATCTGCATTATTGACTGGTGTTTCTCAAATCCAAGTGCCTGTAGGTACATGACAATGAGTTTATGTGGGTGTTTAACATGCACGCAAAAGCCAAGCTCCTTGAGCACGCGTCGTTCCGCTTTTATTACCTGCGTCTTTTTCTGTACATAATTTTGATCAAGGACCAACGGCGTAATCAATCTGCAACAGGGGCGGGGTATTTTTGGGTCTTGTTTTGGACTAGTGATCACATGGCAATAGCATGGGTAAGACAACAATGAATGGATGTATGATCAACCACAACTGACTATTTTATAATAATTTTTTTTTGAAATACTATTTGTTTGTACAAAAGTACATAACTTTTAAAATAAGAATAATGTATTTAAAATGCTTCAATTATTGACTTTTAATAACTGATTGTTGCATTTATTAATTTTATCAACTTGCAGTTATTCTTAAATCATAAATAATACTTAATTTTTTTAAACTTATATTAATGTTTATAAAATGTCAAATTCATTAAATTATTAGATTTTCTAAATAATAGTATATTTATTATTTACTAAACAAATTAAATGCATAAACTATTTATTAAGTTAATCTGATGTGTTTCTATTAATAGTGATTTTATGTAAGTTTTCACTAAATATATATTGAATAAATTAAACTCTAGTATCATATTATCACATCTACCAATATTATATTCATAGAAAAATAATTAGGTCTCTGTAGACCCTATAAATAATAGTGTTGTATAGTGCTTAAGTAATGCATTGTTAAAAAACCATATAAATCTCTAATCCAAAACACATTTATTATTTTGAAACAAAAAAAAATATTATTTATCAAACCATCAGGTAATTTAACAATTGTTAAATTTGTCCTGTTATTTAATGTTTTGAATTCTTGGCTTGATATTCCATGCACATTTTAAAATTCACTAATTTAAATACTTAAAGCATGGTTTTCCCATATTTCATTAATTGTTTTACACAATTCACCTTCAAACAAAAATATGAAAAAAAAAAAAACAAAGTTCACTTCAACTTTTGATTTTATCCAAGTCCTTTTAAACGTCTACAAATAGAGTAGGTACCTTGTGAGATGTAGAATAACCATCAAATGGTTCATATGATTTATCTTCACACATGATTTGATATCTTGAATCCAATTGTGTTTGCCATTGTGCAAAAAACAGTTCGTAATTGTCTGTGAAATTCTATGTTGCTTGATACAAAACTTTTATGGTTAAGTACAATCACTAAATTAGAGCACATTATGTTATGCCATTGGTTTTATACTATACCTCTCTTTTTGATAAATACATATATACATATATATTTTTAAATTTTTTTTTGGACAGACCCTAACACTTTATTGGAGGGAAACCACATAGCTTATTTTTGGTTAAATCATGTTACAATATAATTTTTTAAGGGGTCCAACAGTGTTCTTGACGTGACGACCATCAATTTCAACGTGAATCCACCACGTTCGCTTTCCTCTCCACAATTCAAACCGAGGGCAACTCACCCGGCGGTCAGCTGTGGAAAGTATCTGCGAAAACGCAAGTTATAAAATAAATTTGTGCGTTATATTTGCACTTGGATTAACATTAACAACCACTGACTTTGTTGCATTATACAATTTACAAATAAAAATAAATAAGAACAAAACAATTGCAACAAAAACAATGGATTTCTGTGCACCCTACAGATATCGCATAAAGTCAACACATTGTAACCTTTAGGTGATTTTAATTTTAAATTAACAAAATAATAATAATAAAAATTAAGTATAAATAACAGAATAAAATAAATATTAACATTTAATAGAAGTACAAGTTATATTAAACCTTTTGTATATATAATGTATATACTATGTATAGGTACTACGTAAGGTATGACTTTACTTCCCATATCTTTTTTTAAAATTTTGTACAGTAATATGTTGAGTGCCTCATAATATTTGACGGGTTTTGCCCATATATCCATAACTTTGACCTACCAAGCAACATAAAAAAAACCACAGACTACTGCATGTAAAAAGGGATGTTTAGTTGATACCCGAGCGAATTTTAAAGCAATAAAGATGCCTTTAAAATGTATTTACATTATTAGAGGAGTACTCTTTAAGTTGTGACAGGTCAAGTTGTAGCACTCAACGTGTTGAAGTAAATATTTAAAACCAATAATTTTTTTTAAACCCAAGTATACTTGGTAATTATGTTGAAAATGTATTTTAGAAAATATGTTTTCCTTTATCACAAAAAATGAATGGATTTTGCTAACATAACTTGTACAAATATATAATGTCATCTGTAAATATATTCTCTTATTCTGTATTTATTATAACTATAGAAATATTAGAATGTTTAAGGAATGTGCATTTTGCGACTGCTGTAGGATATCTGAAAGTGATTAAACATCTAATTAAATTTAAGTTATCTTAACTTAAGAGGACGCCACACGCCCAATAGCCTTAATTCAAAGCCTTTTGAAAGGACAAGAACTGCTTGGTATAAAATCCAAGGTGAATAATTTTATTTTCACTATTAAAAGAGAAAAACTTTAACATTAGTTTGTATATTTTCAAGACCTTTAATCACTACACGATAACAATTAATTTTGTTTTATAATTGGTTTCTATAAAATTTGATTAATTTGATATCAAAATAATACAATTATATGCTACAGTAAAAGCTCTTCTGATAGTGAAAATAGTGATTCTTACTATAATTGTAGTGTACAAGGTTATTTCCTACACAAAATGGTTTTTTTTTATGAATTCATGTTTACGCAACAAGTAGCAATAGTAACGTTGCAAAGTGAAGTTACTCAGAATTAGTTTAACTACCTAAAATGGAATCAAAAATTTTGAAATTTTGATTTTTTTTAAATGTCTACCTAGGTACATTTAAATCTTTAAAAAAACGAATGTGTGACGGTCTCTTAACATTTTTATAAGAAAAATGTAATAAAATAAATAAATTATAAGGTGAAAAGTATATGTATGAATATAGGATATAGTTTCAATTTTTTGATTTCATTAAGAAGTTGAGATTATAGATATTAATTTCATCAATCATCCATCAAAATGAATATCCATACATTAATATACTCAACCCTGTATTTATACATTTAGGAAAAAGATATGGCACAATAAAAAGTTCAAATTAAGCAAAGAATATAATTTTAAAGTCAATAAATCAAAGAAGATTGATTAAAATGAAAATTTGCAAAGACAATAAAAACTCATTTAAATTAACTATCCTATTGACATACATATATTAACAGGGTCAAAGCTTAAGATTTACTTAAGAGGTTTGTATACTAAGTTTATACTTAGGTTAATGTATAGGTTAATATATACTAGTAAGACAGTACACACCTTATAAGATAGAAAGGCAAATATGTTTTTCTAGTGAAATTTTGTAACACTAACTTACCTCAAACTAAAGTTAATAAATTAAAATATCTACTTTTTATTTATAGATAATATAATGAATAGGATTTAAAGAATACTGATAGAACCTATATATTTACTTTCTAGGTTAAAAGAAATGTTGTTACGGATTTACCTAATTTAAGTAATTTAAATAGATAAATTTGGAAAATAAAGTAAATACTACTTAAGGTCCAAATCAAAATGGATAATTTAAGTATGGAAACATAAGCTAACATATTAGTCAGTTGTGATTAAAAATATTTAAACAAGATTCAAATGAAAAAAATATTAATTATCAAAAATAAAAACCACTTCAACTTACTTTTGATTTAAAACTTGACGGATATGATGATAAACATTTATGACATCACGAATACGTCTCGGTGATTCTTCGACTTTAGAAGCTAAACATGTACATGCCATTGCAGTTATTTCCATTGGGTGGCGAACAAAAGATTTTGTGTAGTAAAATCGCTGAAACAACACTTGTCCAGTTGCCATTGCAACCTGAAAAATCAAAATCATGTTGTAATATTTTTGTAGCATATTAAAAATTAAGTGACTCAAGTTTAAAACTTAATGTTTTCATAATAGGTAAGCAAGACTGTGAATTTTATGATTTAATTAATTCAGGATTTATAGACATAACCATTCAGTGATGTACCAAAATAAAAATTAAGTATTTTGTTTAAGCCATCTTACCTATAAATTAATATTATTTTTTTGAAGCAAAAATAGAACATTTTTTTTATCACATAGATAGTAATATTTTCAACAATACATGTACAGATTATAATAAGTTTTAAATGAGGCTAGAGTTACAAATTAATAATTATTATGTATTAATAATTTATTGATGTTAAATGTTAATAAGTACAAAAGAACACCGATTAGCCAAACGTCAATCAACCAGATGAGTACCTAAATCTTTTAATAACTCGTAATTGTATTTTGTCGTAGGTAAGATATCTGCCATTTTAGTACACAATATGTATAATGTATAATATAAAAATTGTTCCATACATACGTAACTTTTTAAGAGTTATATAATATCTACTTACATTTCAACTATCCAGATAATTGACACTCTACTGTAATACATATTTTAGTCTGTCTTTAGTAGCTATGCACCATACATATTTTTATCTCGTGACTAGTGTTTTTTATTAGTTCCCAACATTTTAAATTTAATATTAGTATCTATTGATGCTTTTATAAATGTATTTATTAAAAATCTAATTAATAGTAATAATTTACAACCAGGAAATGCTGTACTAAGTTTGTAGATTGTCAATAGATTATGTGATCAAGTATGGATACATTAATCTAAAAATTATATTTTGTGTTATTAAAAAAAAAATAATGAGTTATCATTTTTCAAATAAATGTATTAGTTTTCAAATTTGCCCCATAGTTGAGGCTTCATGTTGAAGTAATAACTTTCCTTCTAACTTTGTTTTATCAAAACCACAAAATTGACGGAATCAAAAAAATAATTTTTTCAAAGGTACCTATTTGGGAAAAATTTAATAGGCTGCAGCAAATGTTACAATGTTAACACTTGACAGCCACAATTTAAGTATGTCAAAGAAACAAAACTACAATAAACCACAATAATGCAATGCTGATTACATTATCTAAGAAGTGAAAACATAATGGATTACATTACATAGTGGTCAAAATCAAGAACAAATAGAAAAAAACAGTGAAAAATAATAGTAGAAAATTCAGCTGGCAAGTCTAGGGTTAGGGCCTCAGAATACAACGTAAGGTTTAATAAAAATATTATCATAATAAATAATATCTGTCTTGGTTGTTGTCCACCATTGTGATTTGCAACAAGAAATTCTCCCAGAAATATAGACCAGATGACAATATTGTAACGATAACATATTTGTGATGCCAAATGAGTTGGGACAAGCAGCATACCTACACTATACCTAACATTATAAGACATACATAGTGGGTACAATCGATAAACTAAGTCTCACCTGGGGCAGTTTGAGCAGTATGCCAGCGGTCTGAATCCACTCACAGCCAACGATCCTTAGGTCGACTTCAGTCTCTAAATCTAACCCATCGATCATCGACGGCGTGGACGTGAGCTTTTCCTTGGGCAACAGTACGTTGCTAAGCGTCAACAGTACCTTGGTCGGTTGTTTCAATACATGGCGGTCATGGTGAACGTCCGCCATCGTCGTCGTCGAAGTAGCAGTTTCCATTTTACACATCACCCACTACGCTGCGGAAAGGCGCGAATTCTTCGTCACAGGGTTTTGAGGGTGAACACTAAACACGTCCTTTGCGGAGGAGGATTGCGAGCATAGAAAAAATATCGTGCTTTGTGAATTGTGATAACCGAATAACAATTATTATTTATTTCGCAGTTGGAAAAGAAAATCTGAAGGTAAGGCAGGCGGTAGGTCGCCGAATCGCGCAGGCCTCGACAGTCGACTTCCCTTCTCAGTTCTCAAACAAGTGTAAACAACAAACATGGCCGCTACGACGTTACGGCCGTTGGTCAGTGCTGCCAACCACAAAGTCAGGTTAGTCAGGCTATCAAGTTCCGTCTCAATTTGAGGCCACCAACGCGATATTCTTAATAGCACCACAGAATAGATTAAATAGCATCCATAATCATTAATCATAGTCCATAGACCTTTTACCATACTTTTACTCTGAGTATATTAAGCACAGAATAAACAGAATAAATGCTGTGGTATAAGGTCTATAATCAAGGATCTATGTACCTAAAGATCACGTCTATAGTCATTACTCATTAGTCATCATACTTGACTATATTTCATGGCTTGAAATAATAGCTTCTATAGCCGTGTAGGTACATGAGTCATGAATACGTGTCATAATTATTATTTATTAGTAACCACGGACTAAGATATACCTTAGGTACCTATATCTTACTCCGTATGACTAACTAAAATATATCATGGCCCTGATATATATATATAAGACCGTGGCCACCAGTCATCATTAATATATTAACACAAATGTTTAAATGTTTTACAATAATTAATCTATGGAGGCCATAGACAACAGATGAATTAATTAATGAAACCGTAGAATAATGACATTGTAATAAAATCACTATCTAGTTGGTGCATTCGGGAGGTCAACATTTAAAATTCCCAATAGTTTTCAAAAGCAACAGAAAAAATAAACAAAAAATTAAGGAACAACGGGAATTTTTATACAAAACCATATTTTCAAACGAATTGATTATGATTTTCATAGTACCTAACTCTAACTAAAATAACCGCAGATACATGCCATTTTCACTGAATATTTGTGTAAGCATTTTCTGCACATCACAAAATTTTCAAAATATTTTGATTTGTGTTGAACTATTTATAGGTAAATGAAATTTTCGATTATTATTATTATTTTTTTTTGTTTTTTTTTTTTTTAAACCCAAGTAGATCCGGTGACTGTCCTCATATAACATTTGAGAATGCAATCATTCCTCGCATAGTCACATCACAAATGAAGTCAAATATCTCGGCTTACTGTTTGACAGAAGGCTCACCAGGGGCCCCCACCTCAAAACCAAACGTAAACAACTAAATAGCCGCCTACACATCCTTAGCCCTTAGGCCTCTCATGAAATCAAATATGTACATCTCCAACCGTCTACTACTCTACAAATCCCTTCTACAACCTATCTGGTCATACGGAATCGCTCTCTGGGGTACCTACCGCTAAACCATCGAACACTAGAACCATACTAGCATTCCAAGCCATTTGCCTCCGCATGATTGCTATAAAGCCCCTTGGTACGTCATAAATGTTGCTCTTCATAATGACCTCCAAATCCCCTCCGTTAAACAAACAGCTATCAGATATTATCTTCACCTGCACTCCAATATAGAACATCACTCAAATCCCCTCATCGCTCAACTTCATACCAATGCTCTTCCAGACAACCTAGCCAGACGCCTCAAACGTGAATGGCCCAGAGATCTTCTCAACGCACATTAAAACATTAATCATGTATTCATGTATATGACTATTTCTCCATAAATTACCTTCCACGTAGGAATTTCTAATGTGAAACTTCTAATCATTGTACTCCCCTCATCGCCACTTTTAATCATTATTCACATTTAGGTACTTATTGTACCATTTTTGTATAGATTGTAAATTTTCATAAATAAACGACAAAAAAAAAACCCAAGTCGATAAAAATTTTTTCGCTCGGTCAAAAAAATTGAAAATGTAATACAAGGTTCCTTGTAAGCTGCTGACAATGGAAATTAAAAAAAAAGTTGAGCGTCAATCCACAATAATTTTTTACGAGTGTATAAACTTATAGAATTTTGACAAAATTTGTAAAAATCAAGAAAATTAGCAAATTATATTTAGTTAGAAATTCATAAAAAAATGTTCTATTTATATCTAAAATTTAAAAATTTAATAAAAGATTCCTTACAAGTTTGTTAACCTTTATCAAAACAAAAATTCTACCGGAAATTCAAATTAAATTTTTATGAGCGTTTAATGGACATTTTTACAACATTGGATATTCACTCGATTCCTCTTGTAGCGATTTACTTATTTTGTTGTAATTCAAAAACGAATTACTGTAGACACTTGAAATTTACCCCAAATGTTTATTCTATCAATTCATATATACATAACATTTTCAAAATATTCTGACTTATAATAGGCTATTGAAGTGTTGACGGACATTTCCATTATTTTTCTATAAAATATGTTAATAAAATTGTATTGGTTGGGTAAAAATACATGAACATGTAATACAAGACTATTGATACATTGTTACAATGGCAGTTGAAAAATATTAAAAATACATTGATACGATTTATTTTTACAAGCATTTAAAGTTCAAATTTTGACAATATTTATCAAGTTGAAAATTGAAAATGATTTTGTAGTTAAAAATGTATAAACTGTTCAATTTGTATAGCTAAGGATTGAAAATTTAAAACAAGGTCACTTAAGCAGTTTTTTCCATAATTATAATAAATCTAAAAAATATATGAATACAGTTATTTTTTACAGACATTTTTTCGTTCAAATTTAGACAAAATTGGGTATTAACACAAAGAATAATGGTTATCATTTTGTTGTAATCCAGTTCCAAAACAGCCCAATTTTACATAGGTGTATTTAATATTTTTCCAGCATCACTGATAATTTAAGAATAATCAATAATATTAATTCAACTTACCGGCTACCATATCAATAAAAAATGAAAAACTAATAACAATATAAAAGATATCCTAAACTGATTTACCGTCTCCGCTCAGAATCGTTTTTCGTATACAATAATTTGATATCATTGAATTCAAATTTAATACCATCCATTACAGCGACCTCTTAGACATCTAATGCACAGCAGAGCGATATCCACTTACCAGCTTTTTTTTTGATTAACAACAAAATAAGAAAATCGTTGTATGGGAATTTATTAATTTAATGGTGAATATCCAATGTTTAACTTTAAAAGCTCTTAAAAATTTAATTTGACTTTCAAGTAAATTTTTTTTTATTAAATGTCGAAAAGCTTAAGAAGAATCTTGCATTAAATTTGCAATACATAGATATAAATATAACATTTTTTTATGAACATTTAACTCGAAATAATTCGTTAACATTTAACTCTTAACTTTTTTAATTTCCACTAACAATTTATTTATTTATTTATTTGTACTACATTTTCAAATATTTTGATTTAGAGGAAATTGTTGTATAACCAATAATTAAAAATAAACTAATAATAAAACATGCATTTTTCTTATATGCTTATAAATAGCTCAAAAAGAGTCACTGTTTCGAAAATGTTATGGTGCATGTACTGCATAGAATTTGCTTATATATAAATTCAGGGAAAATTTCATCTATATAAAAAATTACACTAAAAAAACAAAGTACATTTTTCAAAACATAGGTTTTCTGTAAAAATCTCAGTTTTTCCTTAATTTTTTGTTTGTTTTTCCTGCCACTTTTAACCACCAGAGTACCAAATAAATTCACTTACTAACCAGAAAAGTTGCTATTGAAGAAAATCAAATCTTTTTACTACCCCAAAAGGTGATGACACAAAAAATAAAATAAATAAAAAAATACACACTATTAGAAAATCTATACATTCATAGCTCCATTTTTCGATCTGAATCTAAAGTAATGGAAATATAATTATTTACGAAATACTATAGTTACTATAGTTATAGTTTCTGATGTTGAAATAATCGTAACCATAGACTTTCACCAAACATTTATATTAATCTTTTCTAACATTTCTATAGCCATAATATAAAATACATAAACGTTTTGTAAACGTTACATTATTTTTATGAGTTTAAATAGACATTTTAAAAACAAACCTCAACTAAAAAAAATAATTTGGGAGCCAGTAATGAGAGAAAAATATACATGTTTATATTATTTTAGGTTTGGATTTAATTCCTAGAGGCTAGGTTTATAGCAGAGAGATCTCAAGTTGAAATTTTCAATATATATAATTTATTTATTTAGTTATATACAATGAAAAAAGAAAGTATTCACATCGAAATATTCTTCATTATTATTTATTTCGCTGTATACCAGTTTTTAAAAGTAAACAATTAATGAAAACCAATGTCTTCAGATTGTTATTTCATAATTTAATATTGTTAACTTAGTTTTTATTATAATTTCTTAGATAATAGTATAATACCAATATGAACAATAAAGGAATAAAATTGAAAATAACAACCTACATTCTCCATCCAGTTTAAAAGCTATATTAGTATGAATATATCATAATATATGCTTATACCTAATACATATATTCCTATATTATACAACACAGAATAAATTTATCGTCGACTTGTGCGAATTAACACAAAGGGTAAGAAGATTATTTAAAAAGTGAACCCAGTGTTGACACTTAGCATATTTCTTTTGGCAAGCTTAACAAATATGTCATCAAATTTATCAACATGTTTCCTTTAAAAATTGACGTAGATCAGTAGGTTGTTGACAGATCATCTTTCTTGAAATCCACCTCAAAGGCACTCACAATATATAATTTGTTGCATTTTTGTAAGTATTAGCTTTTCTCAGTATTATTCTAAAAAACATCATCACAACAATGTTATTAGATCTAGACTAAAAAATGTATGAGATAGCAAGTTCTATGTTAACATGTATAAAAATGTTGTAACAAATAAATAAATTTTAAATTTATATTATAATTTAGTCGAAGTTATCCTTGATCTACAAAATAAGGACTATCAAAAGTATAGAGTATAGACTATTGAATATTATTATATTAT